TCATGTCAAATATAATAGCGGAGCTCTCAGCTGGGACAGAATTAAATGCTGGCCGTAGACGAGATGAAAATCGGCCGATTTTTTTTTACTGTTGGTGGTAAAGTCGGCCTATTTAACAATCGATTTTTCATTTTTTTTTTTAAAAAACAGACGGTTTTCGACCCGTCTATGGCCTGCATAATGCTGTTAAACACAGTAAAAAGCGTCAGATCGTGGCTAGGTGCGTTTTTGAGCCTCGAATGTGAGTTACAATAGCAGAGTGTTTTTTTTGTTTTGTTTTTTGCTACAATGCTAAAAAAACACTAAATGCAAAAACACACCAAATGTGGAAAAACTCGTGTTTATAGTGTGGCTTTTTATAGATAACTTTCATACCGCCCTATAGCAGAAATCCTGCTACAGGGCGGCATGGGTGCGCAAAATCACGTATATATACGTGATTTTGCAGTTCCAGGTAGGGGGTGCATGTGTGCCCGGCGATCTCTGAGTTTTAATGATGGGGGAGAGACCTGTATGTAAACAATACAGATCTCTCCCCTGCACACTGCTTTGTATGGCTCTGCATAGCACACCCATACAAAGCAGTGTGCTTACAGTGAAACACACATACAGCACACAGTAAAACACTCCCAGCACACAGTTAAGCCTTTGAATGCCCCACATGTTAACCTCTTCCTGCCCAGTGCCATTAGTACAGTGTCAGTTCTTTTTATTAGCACTGATCACTGTATTGGGGTCACTGGGGATGTCAGTGACACCAAGTCAGCTCCCCCCAGTGTCAGAATGCCCACCGCAGTCCTGCTATAAGCCGCTGATCGCTGCCATTACTAGTAGAAAAAACACCCCCAGAATATATACCGCCATTTGTAAACGCTATAGATTTCATGTAAACCAATTCATTTACAAGTATTGGGATTTTTTTTAGCAAAGACATGTCGCAGAATACATTTCAGCCCAAGGTTATGACGAAATTTGATTTTTAAAATTTTTTTACTGGACGTGTTTTATAGCAAAAAGTAAAAAAAAAATTTAATTTCAAAATTGTCAGTTTTTTTTGTTTATAGCACAAAAAAATAAAAACCGCACAGGCGATCAAATACCACAGACAGAAAGCTCTTATTTGTGGGTAAAAAAGAACATAAATTTTATTTGGGTGCAGCATTGCATGACCGCGCAATTGTCAGTTAAAATAACGCAGTGCTGTAACCAGGGGCAGACTGACCATTTGGAACCTCGGGCACTGCCTGAGGGCCCGGGGTCAGTAGGGGGCCCCATGAGATGCCCCTGGTACCTTTTTTCATAGGCTTTTTTGAGTTTGGGCAAGGACACAGGATCCCCATGATCCCCTATTGCCCAGGGGCCCCATGAGTTGTCAGTCCGCCCCTGGCTGTAATGCAAAAAATGGGCTGGTCAGGAACGGGGGTTAAATCCTCAGGAGGGCAAGTGGTTAAGATATGAGTATAAGTAGACTTAAAGTAAAATGTGTCTATAATGATAGTCGATAGTGATAATGATAGTGTACAATATATATGTAAAGGGTTGCGTAAATTGATGGCGCTATATAAGTACCTGAAATAAATAAATAGTCATTTGATTTTGGAAAATAACTAGTGTACTATTACTACTGTTGAAAAAAATAAAAAAAGTGTTTCCGCCCGGTTTCGAACCGGGGACCTTTCGCGTGTGAGGCGAACGTGATAACCACTACACTACGGAAACTCCTGATAGAAAGGCTCTGTGAAGTGCCCTGTCGGCTCTGCAGGGAAGTAGGAAGTGACGATCCTCGTGTTTCTTGTGATGTTTTTTGTTCCTATATATATATACCTTTATACATCACATCCTCCAACCCTTGGAGTGGAAGAGGACATCCGATGGCATGACCATCACTAATCAGCTGAGGTCAGGATCATAACCTGGATGATAGAACATACGTGTACATTGCACGCTGAGTATTGACAAATGACTGAGTTCAAGCATGTCTGTGTTGTGACGGCTGTCTATGGAGCTGTAAAAGACATGTGCCCGCCTATTCAGCACATAGTCACCTAGAGAGAAAAAAGCTGGGAATACATCCACAACATGACCTCGTGGCGCAACGGTAGCGCGTCTGACTCCAGATCAGAAGGTTGCGTGTTCAAATCACGTCGGGGTCAGAGAACTTTTCTTTTTTTTTTTTCAAGCAGAATTGCCCATAACAGGACTGCTGATTTTCAGTGCTTAACCCTTTCAGGATACTTCCATGGCATCATAACTACAGAAGATGTTACTATGCTGTAATGTAGTAGCTTTTGCAATTTTCCTTTCTAATGATTCATAAGGAAACGCTCAGAACCCTAGAACGCTGCTTGTTCATCAGGCATGTCCAGCAATGTCCTCATTTAAGTTTCTAATTCATAAAAATCTTATGTACAGTACATCTGAAAGCCATTGTTCACATGTAAGGTGGTTACCCTAAGACCCCGGTCACATCGGGTTTCATTTGCATGCCATGCGACTTGCAAATTGTATGCCAAGTCGCACCCTATTTTCCACAATTAGAGCGGTCAAATCGGTGCGGTTGGTCGGAGCCGCACCAATTTCTAAAGTAGTACATGCACTACCTGTGGTGCGATTTGCATAGATATCTGTGTCAGATGTCTTGAAAATCGCACCTTAAATCAGCATCTCGCCCAACTTTGAAATCATGCAACTTCACTGTAAGTCGCACGATTTCAAAGTCGGGCTTGATGTAAGACCCCGGTCACACTGGGTGCGACTTGGCATGCGATTTGCATGCAATACGACTGTATTGTCCGCAAATACCATATTGTTCAAATTCATTGAAGCCGCAACGATTTCTAAAGTAGTGCATGCGCTACTTTTGGTGCGATTTGCAAAGATATCCGTGTCAGATGTCTTGCAAATCAAACCTCAAATCGGCATGTCATCCGACTTTGAAATCGTGCCACTTCACTGTAAGTCGCACGATTTCAAAGACGGGATCGGTGGTGTGACCGGTGTGACCGAGGTGCTCAAACATTTGTGATGGGCCAAACACCCCCGTTTGGTTCGCGGTCGAACTTTGAACAGAGAGGACAATTCACTAAGCGGTATCTTACCGCATCTGAGTATGTGGTAAGATACCGCACAGCTACTACTAAAAAACATACTTTAATTCCTGTACTTCCTACAGAGTAATTCCTGTACTACTTTGGTCTGACTTTCATGCGACTTGAGGGCCATAGACTTCAATGTAGACCCTCCAAAGTCACATGAAAATAGCACCTGAATTCTGTACATGTGACTTGTGTGTGGCTTTGTACAGCAGAAATAATCATACTTGGTCAAAGCCAAAGTCGCACCAAAGTCACACTCGTCCAAAGCTGTGTCAAAGTCGCAGTGAAGTTGCACAAGTGTCACAATTTGAATGACAATTGCGCGGTCGTGCAACACTGTACCCATATGAAATTTGTATCATTTTTTTCATACAAATAGAGCTTTCTTTTGGTGAACAAAAAAAGAGCAAACAAATTGAAAAAAAAAAGGTTTTCTTTGTTTCTATTATCAAATTTTGCAAACAGGTATTTTTTCTCCTTCACTGATGTACGTTGATGAAGCTGCACGGATATACAGCACTGATGAGGCTGCACGGATATACAGCAGTGATGAGGCTGCACGGATATACAGCAGTGATGAGGCTGCACGGATACACAGCTGTGATGAGGCTGCACGGATACACAGCAGTGATGAGGCTGCACGGATATACAGCAGTGATGAGGCTGCACGGATACACAGCACTGATGAGGCTGCACGGATATACAGCAGTGATGAGGCTGCACGGATATACAGCACTGATGAGGCTGCACGGATATACAGCACTGATGAGGCTGCACGGATATACAGCAGTGATGAGGCTGCACGGATATACAGCAGTGATGAGGCTGCACGGATATACAGCACTGATGAGGCTGCACGGATATACAGCAGTGATGAGGCTGCACGGATATACAGCACTGATGAGGCTGCACGGATATACAGCACTGATGAGGCTGCACGGATATACAGCACTGATGAGGCTGCACGGATATACAGCAGTGATGAGGCTGCACGGATATACAGCACTGATGAGGCTGCACGGATATACAGCAGTGATGAGGCTGCACGGATATACAGCACTGATGAGGCTGCACGGATATACAGCAGTGATGAGGCTGCACGGATATACAGCACTGATGAGGCTGCACGGATATACAGCAGTGATGAGGCTGCACGGATATACAGCAGTGATGCAGGCTGCACGGATATACAGCAGTGATGAGGCTGCACGGATATACAGCAGTGATGAAGCTGCACGGATATACAGCACTGATGAGGCTGCACGGATATACAGCACTGATGAGGCTGCACGGATATACAGCACTGATGAGGCTGCACGGATATACAGCACTGATGAGGCTGCACGGATATACAGCACTGATGAGGCTGCACAGATAGGCAGCAGTGATGGGCACTGATGTGATTTTGCGCACCCCTGCCACCCTGTAGCAGTATTTCTGCTGTAAGGCGGCAGGAAAGCACTTACATTAGCCTCAGAACCTGTGTAAATAATATGTTTGGGTTTAAAGGGGTGAGGTGGCGACTCTACACAGAACGCAGGTTTCCTGCATAGCTATCTGGAGTGAACTTGTCCTTATCAGAAATACATTTTACATTTGTCTCGCTCGCTCTTACGAAAAGCGCTGCAGAAACGCATCAGTGCAAAAGGGTCTTCAAAATGCACGCAAAACGCATGATAGAGAAAGGCTTAAAGTAGACGTATAGAAATCCAGGCTAAAGCTAGCTAGTCTTCATGAACACATAGGCACCACACTGCGCAGGGGGTCCAGCCTGGTCTGTGTATTGGGTCCCAGAATTATCAATACAATGTACAATCACACAGTCCTGGCTGGGAGGGGTAGACAAGCATGGTGGAGGACAGGAAGTGATGAGATGGAGGAGGTACACCAGTACAGAGGAGGAAGTGTCATACTGCCTGGACTGGTGTGTCTGTAGAGAGTACATGGTGTGTCCTCTGTGTGCACACTATGGGCAGGAAGGTGACCTTGGCTACCTGTACATTGAATCAGTGGGCTCTGGATTTTGAAGGGAATCTGCAGAGAATATTACAGAGTATGTAATCCCAGTTCTACAGAACCTCATCCCCCCGTCTGTCCTTCCTTCTGTCCTCATGTGTGTGCCCCCCTTATGTTCTGATATCTATATAGGATATATACACCTGTATACAAACCACCATGTGTCATACTACACTTAGACCTCATCCACAAAACGCTGCATCCACATCTGCACAGCACACGGATCTGGATACTGCAGTATTGGATTCTTTTTTACATATCTAAACGTGACGTATTGTATACTACAGGCTCATGTATGCAGCTCTTATCTCATGCTGCGTTCAGTTGTTTAACCACTCGCCCTCCAGAGGATTTACCCCCCCTTCCTGACCAGGCTATTTTTTTGCGATACAGAACTGTGTTACTTTAACCACTTCCAGTCCGAACACTTTCACCCCCTTCCTGTCCAGGCCAATTTTCAGCTTTCAGTGCGATCACACTTTGAATGACAATTGCGCGGTCATGCAACACTGTACCCATATGAATTTTTTAGCAATTGTTTGAGACAGATAAAGCTTAATTTTGGTAGTATTTATTCACCACTGGGATCTTTATTTTTTTTTTGGGTATGTAAATGAAAAAGTCAAAAACATTTTTTTAAAAAAGTGTTTTTTCTTATAAAATTTTGCAAATAAATAATATTTCATCATAAATCTTGGCCAAAATGTATTCTGTTAACTTTTTAGTAAAAAAAAATAACTCAAATTAGTTTATAACCAAAAATTATAATTTTTAAACCATTTTTTTTACATTTTTAAATTTTTTTATATTTGTTTTTTGTTTTTTTTTTTTACATACTGTTACCCTAGCAGTACAGTGTCACCATGGTCACACTGTACTACTTGTGGGGGGTGATGAAGATTTTTTTTTTTACACTGATTGCTTTTACACCCATAAAGGCTGTAAAAGCAATCATTTCTCCTCTCTGGCTGCATTCTTGCAGCCATTGAGAACTACTGTGTGAGCTGTGATTGGTCACAGCTTGTCACATGGTGCAAGGCTGTAGTGAATAGTCTTGTACCGTGTGACCTCTGTGCTAATTCACAGATTTCACACATAGTAAGCAATGATGTCAGGAAGTGACATCTTGCTTACTACTCTGCATGTGATCACTGATTGGCCAATCAGTGATCACATGATCTGGACCTCGCACAGAGGTCCCGTACAACGATCGGTGTTCCTCTTTGTCCGGAGGACACAGCGGGCACCGGATCGCAGTGCTGCACGCTCCCAGGGAGCGCACACAAGCAGGGTGCGGAGAGGCCGTTTATAAATGGCCACCTGACCCTGCACTGCCACCTTCCAGCTGTTGTATATAGGTGATAATTGCGCAGTCATGCAACACTGCACCCAAATGAAATTTTTGTCCCTTTTTTTCCCCCCTCAAATGTAGCTTTCTTTCGGTGGTATTTGATCGCCTCTGTGTTTTTATTTTTTGCGCTATAAACAAAAAAAGACCGACAATTTTGGAAAAAAAAAATATCTTTTACTTTTTGCTATAAAACATGTCCAGGAAAAAAAATTAAAAAAATCAAATTTAGGCCAAAATGTATTCTACTACAGGTCTTTAATCCCAATACGTGTAAATTAATTGGTTTACGTGAAAGTTATAGCGTTTACAAATGGCGGCATATATACTGGAATTTTTTTCTTTTTTATATTAGTAATGGCGGCAATCAGCAACGTATAGCCGGACTGCGGCAGATATTCTGGCACTGGGTGGGAACTGACTGTCACTGACATCCCCAGTGACACCAATACAGTGATCAGTGCTAATAAAAAAAACACTGACACTGTACTAATGGCACTGGATAGGAAGGGGTTAACATCTGGGGGCAATCAAAGGGTTAACTGTGTGCTGTGTTTTACTAGGGAGGCATGCTGTTTTGTATCTCTCTGTTATGCAGAGCCATACAAAGCAGCATACTGGAGCTGACATCTTGCTTACTACTCTGCATGTGATCACTGATTGGCCGGAGAACACAGCAGGCACCGGATCGCAGTGCTGCGCGCTCCCAGGTAGCGCGCACAAGCAGGGTGCGGGGAGGCCGTTTATAAACGGCCACCCGACCCTGCACTGCCACCGTCCAGCCGTTTATATACATGGGCTGGACGGGAGGTGGTTAAAGAGTGATCCACAATTGGACTGCTCTTCATAGAGTAATTGACAGGCAGTTAGGAGGCACATTATATTCTCCTTGCCGCCTGTTTTAACCCTCTAAAATCTGGATTACTATAACACAACTGCATGCAGTTTTGGGGTATTTGCAGAGCCGACCCATTCACTTAAACGGGTTGTGCTAGCGCCCATCAAAAGCAACAAGCAGTTAAGTTCCTGCTACAGCCACAGAGCATTGAAGCCATGGCATGTGTACAGCCGCTGGCTCTGCAGCTAAAGGGAGAGCGGTAAAAACATGACTCAGCTAGAGGGTTTTACCGCTCTTCAACTACATGTGTGATCAAGCCCATATACTGGCTATTCATGGTAACAAATGCAAAAATAGAAGTTGGATGAAACTTTTATGCACATGGCTGTACAATGTGCAGAGCCGTATACTAACATTCCTGGGACCCGCTGCCACTTTGTACATCTACCACCTGTGATACATTAGAAGAGGCAGCTGTGTGCAGTTGTGCACTGGGGAGTGCGTAAACACGTACACGGATGTATGCTCCATACGTGGATGGGGTTCTGTGAGCATGTGGATGCTTTACACAACCCAAGCACAGGACCACATACAGCCTCTTCTTCTAATGCATCCCAATGGAAGGGTTTAGATGGGGGCAGCAGGTCCTGGCAATGCCAGTACACAGGCTCTGCACGCTGTATGGTATGGTGGAGGCTCATGCACACGGACATAATAAAATACTGATATCTTGCCGGCAGAAAGATCCTGCAAAAACCCCATATTGCATTGTGCTCTGTAGTAGTGCTACTGTTTACATGTGTTTAGGCTCATTTACATAATACGCAATTGACCATGTTTTAAAACGCATTCCGAACACGTAAGCAGAAAAAAAATAGTAATTCAATGAGCCAAGTTTGCACCACTGTGGTGCTTTCATGTGCATTTGAACAAAAGTACAGTATGATACATATTTTTGTACATAAATGTCCTGGGGTGCACATAAACGCACCATAAATGCATGTAAATACAGCTCATTAAGAAAAATAAATAAAAATGCATTGTAAACACTTTGCAAAAGCACTGAAAATGTAGAACTAATGCATTGCAGATGCCTGGAAACAAACGTGCAGAACTGCACGTTGAACACAAGGATTATTTATTATTGTACAGGATTTATATAGCGCCAACAGTTTGCTCAGCACTTTACTAACGGGAGACAATACAGCAACAATACAGTTCAATACAACAGGGTTAGGAGGGTCCTGCTCCTTGGAACGTACAATCTAAGAGGGAGAAGCTGCTGGTACAAAAGGAAATAACTGTGGGGGGTGAACTGATAGGAGGAATAGAAGATTTGGTTATTTATTTGAAGGCAGGATAGGCTTCCCTGAAGAGATAGGTTTTCAGAGATCGCCTATAAGTGGGCAGAGTAGGTGATACTCAGATAGATTGGGGTAGAGAGTTCTAGAGGATGGGAGAGGCTCTGGAGAAGTCCTAGAGATGAGCATGGGAGGAGGAGACAAGGGAGCTAGAGAGCAGGAAGTTGTGGGAGGAGCGGTGACGATTTGGGTGATGTTTGGAGACAAGATTGGTGATGTATTTTGGGGCAGAGTTATAAATGGCTTTATATGTTGTTGTTAATGTTTTGAATTTTATTCATTGGGCAATGGGAAGCCAGTGGAGGGATTGGCAGAGAAGGGTGGCAGATATGTAACGGTTACTAAGATGGATGAGTTTGGTGAATAGGTTGCATAGTGGTTAAAGAGGTTAGAAATGGGCGTATCTTGGAGATGTTGCGGAGGTGAAATCTACAAGATTTGGACAGTGATTGGATTTGGGGCTGAAAGGATAAATGGGAGTCCAGGATTACACCTAGCACCCTGGCATGGTGGGGAGGGACTGATGATCATTTAAGGCCGGTTCACACCATGAAATGCATAGGAATGTGATGTGTGCCCCTGTATGATTCCCATGCAATCCGGGTGCAGTGTGATTTCAGCCTCTTCATTTGAATGTGCTGAAGTCAGGTTAGACCGCAGGAAAAGTAGTGCATGCACTACTTTACAAAACACAGAGAAAACAGATCGCATGGTACTTATGTACCATGCGATCTGTTCAGGCAAACATGCTGCATTTGTGACCTGTCTTTGGGGTGTCACTAGTATTGCACTGACACCTACTGCAGATCGCAAGTGAAGTTTGATTTGAACGTGGTACAGGAAATGCACATGGAATGCTGAATTCCCACAACACATTCTGGTGTGAACTAGCCCTTACACCCGATGCAGTTGAATGTAATTTTAATGGCAGTATGAGCGCATATGGGGGAAAAATGAATGCCTCTCAATCATTGCTTACTATGTGTTACATCTGTGAATGATCACAGAGGTCACATGGTACAAGGCTATTCCTTGTACCATGTGACAAGCCTTGACCAATCACAGCTCACACAGTATTTCTCAATGGCTGCAAGAATGCAGCCAGAGAGAAGGAGAAATGATTGATTTTACAGCCTTTATGGATGTAAAAGCAATCAGTGTAAAAAAAAAAAATCCTTATCACCCCCACAAGTAGTACAGGGTCACCATGGTGACACTGTACTGCTAGGGTGACAGTATGTAAAAAAAAATAAAAACATAAATAATATTTATTTATTTTAGGTGCATATATTATACAGCGCTGTCAATGTATGCAGCGCTTTACATATATATTGTATAAAAAAAAATTATAATTTTTGGTTATAAACTAATTTGGGTTATTTTTTTTTTTTTTTTTTTTACTAAAAAGATAACGGAATATATTTTGGCCAAGATTTATGATGAAATACTATTTATTTGCAAAATTTTATAAGAAAAACACTTTTTTTCAAAATTTTTGGACTTTTTCATCATTTACATAGCAAAAAAATAAAAATCCCAGTGGTGAATAAATACCACCAAAATAAAGCTTTATCTGTCTTAAAAAAATGCAAAAAAATTTATATGGGTACAGTGTTGCATGACTGCGCAATTGTCATTCAAAGTGTGATAGCACTGAAAGCTGAAAATTGGCCTGGGCAGGAAGGGGGTAAAAGTGTCCAGACTGGAAGTGGTTAAAGCACATGTGAACAAGCCCTAAAGGAAAACTTATGCAGGCCATATATGGGTCGTTAATCGTCCGATTTTTCGCCCGAAAGAAAAATCGGCCGATTTTCGTACCGTTAGTGGATTAGTTCGTCGGCCGTTTTTTCGTGTATTTTGCACTTTCAGATCATCGGTTATGTTGGGAAATTTGCCAAATCGGCCGATTTTCCCGGCAATGATGGCCAAATCGGACGATCGTTTTAACAATAAAAAATCTGCGCATGAGCTGTGACCTGAAAAGGACAGAAGTTATGGGGTGAATGTTATGATTTAGTCGGACAATTTTTTTATTCGTTGGTGATAACGGCCAAACAAACAACCTATTTTTCGTTTATCGTTCGAAAAATCGGCCGATGTTTGACCCTTCTATGGCCTGCATAAGGTTTAAAAAAATAATCCAATCATCCTTTAGTTCTGATTCATCTGTGTAAGGGGGGAGGAACATGACGGCGGTGGTGTGTCCTTTGTCTACATACTTGTAATATAATGTCTTATTATGTATTATGGTATTTTTCCTACTTTTATTTTCAAACTTTGACCAGTTTCAATGTTTGTATTTCCTGGGTGGTGTTTGTTGATGACATTTTTTATGTGTTTGGCTTTATTTTTTTTTTTGTGGGATTCCGTACACTTTTGTACATAGCTATAGAAACGTGCCTGTCCAATATAAATTGATGGGGGATAGTGTGAAAGTCCCTCACAATGTTTTAGTATTTTATTTCTTAAAATTTAATATTTAAAAGAATTAGCAGCTAAATTAAGGCTCCGTACACACCTATACAAGCAAAACATTGCAAATGCGTTTTGGTACATGCGTGTTGGTGCATTGCATTTAGGGCAGACCGTTCATTTCAACGGACAGTTGCACAAACGTTTCATGTTACACGCTAAATATTGGTATAACAGGAAACATTGTATGGAAGTGGGACTATTCCTGTAACCTTTGTACTTTTTTTATATTTTGTCTGCATACCTGCCTTACATGTAGAATTTGTTCCAGGTATAAAGATTGCCAAGGAGAGAGGAGCTCGATACCGACTCGGCCCAGAATTGGAAATATGGTAAGATGTCTGTTTTCTGAGCGGTCATGCTGAAACTGTGTCACCTGTTCTGTCCTTCCAACCTTCAGCACGCTCGCCCAATAGACTCCCCGCTCACACGTAACCCCTCTTTTCAGCACAAAGCTGGCTACAGGTCAAAGTCTCACTGATAAGAAAGTTACAGCTTTGTCTTTGTGGGTTATAACTGGCATTTTTAGAAAGTATGTTTAGTTTATGGTCAATTTATCTTTTATATTTTTTAGTTTCCAATTTTTTTTATTGAGTAGTTTTACAAAAACAAGTAGTACAAATAGTACAAATAAACAGTGTACCATCGTACATACAGATATAGTATAAGACACCAATAACAACGAAATGTTCAAAACAATTGACATTTTACGCAAAACGCATATTACAACCAAAGCGAGAGTAAGTGTATCTCACCTAACCAATATATAAGAAACAATACATAACAGAGGAAAGGACAAGAGAAAGCAAAGAAAAGAGTGGAAGAGAGGGTCGAAATGAGGGACATTAAGGCACAGAGATGTATTGAATCCACGGGTTCCATGTGTTATCAATTTTTTTTGAATTATTGTGCAGGATATAGGCGAGTTTGTCATTAACCATAATCTAGTTTAGTTTCTGTTTGGCATACTCAAGTGGAATGGCTGATTACTTCCAATGTCTATCAATAGTCTCCTAGATTGTAAGCTCCAAGGAGCAGGGCCCTCCTATCCTATCAATAGCTGTATTGTCTCCCGTTATATTGTAAAGCGCTGAGCAAACTGTTGGCGCTATATAAATCATGTATAATAATAATAGTAATTCTCGCTGCTAGAAACATGTAGGTGATCAACTTATGGGATTTCTTAGGAACATTATCTGGAAATTTATGAAAGAGCACCATCTCCGGGGATCTGCGAATATTTACAAAATTAAACATGCGAATCCAAAATCTAGTTGCGATCGGACATTGCCACTAGATGTGATACATAGACCCTACCCGGCCACAACACCGGAAACACATCACAGAAGCAGACGGCTGCATCCTCGCAATCCGAGTGGGGACCAAATACCATCTCAACAAAGTTTTATAGTTTGCTTCAATTAGGGTAGTATTGATAGAAATTTTTAATAACGCCAGAGCAATATCTTGCCAATCCGATAATTCATAATTGACAGCTAAATCACATTCCCAATGCTCCATATAGGGCAGTTTACAATTTGGATCAGAGGAGAGCAAATACTGTATACGGCCTCTTGGGAAATCCCTATTTCGGCAAGAAAGTTCAAAGGCAGTGAACAAAGGTGACTCATCCAATAAAGTAAGCTACGAGCAGAGAAATGAGACAGTCTGGTTATATCTGAAAATTTCAGAGGTAGGTGTCATGGTCGCCAGATCGCCACCCTCAACATGTGACAATCGCACGACCGCGACCAACAATAATACGTCATGCCCGCGGCATCAGACCCCAGACCTTTTCACCAAACTCGTGACCAAAGGACCAGCCAATCTAAAACCGCGATGTGATGTGCGTAACAATGCCACACTCAGCTGCGACCTGCACAACGATTGTCCAGCTAATGGAACGCAATCGATGCACCAGCAGCCTGAATGCGCTTGTTACTGGGTCGGGTTAATTATGCAACTAACCCTTCACTGCCACCACCCCTTTTTGTACAGAGAAAGGGGAAACTCTCTTTATCAAATATGCACTGTAATGGTTGAAAAGTCACCTGTCCAATACGGTCACCGCAGGCCGATTGGGCAGAGGATTAAACAAACACAGTAGCGTCTCTTCAAAAGGCAGGAATTCGTGAATTGCAAGTAAGCGCTTAGAAACAGTTTAACACTTTCAGAAAGAAAGATTTATTACTAAAAGAGTCAAACAGGTGCAATAAAATATTTACAAAAAAAATGTAACTAAGATATATATATATATATATATATATATATATATATATATATATATATGCATAGAAAACAGCTTAGCACAGAGATAACAGGGAGAAGTTAAAAGAGTAAGTTACTTGCCATGTTAAGCCTTAAGGTAAGCAGATCCAAGTTGCAGAGTGAAGGGTCTTTGATCTCCTGCTGTTACGATGTTAAAAATTAGGAGATCTCTTTAGCTTCGCTTTTTAGGCTTGCCAGCCTGTCTTTTTAAAAATCCCCCTGCAAGGGGGGGTGGCTCTGAATACTGGCCAATACGCTGTTTTGGGAGGGGTCAGTCGGGCGAACTCTGAATTAGAACCAACATCTGTCATAATCCATGACATGAAACATAGGGGAAAACCAGATCTGTTAAAAATGTTATCTTGTTTGTGCTTCTGGGGAATGCCTTGAACTTTTGAGAAGGCCCTGTTATCTTTTCCCAAGGTGCGAAGTTACACAGGTTTTGGGACAGAGTCTGCTGTCTCTGTGGGGGGGCTTTGTAGTTCTGGGCCCCCTGCTGTTCCAGCCTGCCAGCAAATTTTAACACTGACACATCTGTCACTGTGCCTCTCACCATGGGAGGGGGAAGGAGAATAAAGGATTGAGGAATACTTCTAATAAAAAAGGGGAACTCCGCATCCAACTCTGATGAGCAAGTTTGCTACAGTAGGCATATACAGTTTGTCTTTAAAATATTGTAAAGAATGTATGCAAGCCCCGTTAAGATTGTCTCCTATACACAACAAGCCTTTATTGATCCAATATTGAAAAGGGGCCGGTGTTAATCCAGGCACAAATTCAGGGTCGCAAAAAACGGAGCTACAGGTGTATGTGGAGATGCCAATGACTTACGATGGCATACCCTGTCCCAAACTGCCAAAGAAAATGAGAGAGTGGGGCACAATATAGGAGGGTGCAATCGTTTTGGAAGCCAAAGTAACACCCCAACAGCTAGAGGGTGACAGGAGAGAGCGAGAGAGCTTCGCTAGAAACTCAGAGGGGAGTATTTCCTCCAGCAGTGGTGTAAGCCAATTGGGTGATTTGTGCAGCCTGGAAGTACGCATGGAGATTAGGAAGGCCAATACCACCTCGCGGTCTGGAAGCATACAATGTCTTCTGGGTCATTCGAGGTTGTCTGTTATTCCAAACAAAATGGAGAACCTCAGCTTGTAGATGTTGTAATTCTCGTCTCGGAATCGACACCGGTAAGATCCGGAAATAGTATAGCAATCGTGGCAAAAACATAATTTTGATCGAGTTGACTCTGCCAAACCATGATAAGGAATAGTCCGCCCAATGGCGAAGACCGTGTTTGAGTGTCTTAAAGAGAGGAGGGTAGTTAGCTTGATATAGCATCTTGATTGAGGCGGTTAGATGTATCCCTAAATAAGGTAATGACTTACTTGCCCATTGAAAATTATAGGAAATTCGAAGCTGCTGTTCCTCAGACATGGGTAAGGAAACATTAAGGGCTGCTGTTTTTTGGGAATTAAAGGAAAGAGCGGAAAATTGATAATTTACTGTCGCTATTATGCCAGAGGGGAAATAATCTACATAAGAACGTCATCGGCGAATAGGGCACATTTATGTTCCTGATGTCCGCAACAGATGCTATGGATTTGGGGATGGGAGCGAATTGCCAGAGGCTCAATTGCCAGCACAAAAAAGCAGTGGAGACAATGGACAACCTTGTGTAGTGCCTCTTTGGAGACCTGAGCCGAGGGATTATTGTACAATGAGTGCAACAAAGGAAGAAATGTCGGGCCAAATCCAAAGGCCTTCAGGGTAGTAAATAAATATTCCCACGTCACACTATCGAAGGCCTTATGAAGGTCCAGAGAAAGAAGCAAGAGTGCCCCAGAAAGGGGGGCATCCCAATTAGAACAGGCAGCTGAGATCAGAGTAATAGACCTGCGAATCTGGTCCAAGGTTTGAAGACCCAATATAAATCTCGACTGGTCTTTATGAATATATTGCGCCAGAAAGGAATTAAGACGTTAAGATGTATGGATAGAAGTTTTGTTAAATTTTTCAGGTCACAATTAATTAATGAAATAGGGCGATAATTGTGGACATCGGTGGAATCTTTTATTGGGTTTGGGAATAACACTAATATATGCCTTGTTCTCATCTAAAGTAACCCCTCCCTCCTCTCTCAATGAGTTATAGTGTCATATGAGGAAGAAGATGATCAGAAAAAGTTTTGTAATATTTGTTAGGTAAGCCATTGGGGTTATTAATAGGTTGTTCCTTAAGTTCTTTATGGGCTTCAGTGAGGGAAGGAATAGGCAAAGACTCTAGAAAGGATCGAATGGAGGAAGGTTCCACTGGTCGAGGTGGGCCGTATAGGGAGGCATAGAAACCATGAAATTCCTGAAGAATCTTCTGAGGGTCTTGCGTGATAGTACCCCACTTTAGCCAGAGTTTGGGCAGTGCTGAATGAGAGAATTTGGGGGTAAGCTTATGCACTAGAAGGGAGCCTGGTCTGTCTCACCACGTAAAAAATGTATGATTCATCCAGCATAATTGCTTTTCCGCGTTTGTGGTGAGGCAGAGGTTAATTGCCAATGTGGTTTAACCACTCTAACCGTCAAATCAGAGAGCGTCAGAATCACTGGACCGTGGTCTGACCAAGGTGTCGATCTAATTTTAGCCGAATGTAGCCTGGCTATCGTTTCTGAGGGGACAAAAACATGATCTATATGAGAATACTGATTATGAGCCCTAGAAAAGTGGGAGTAGTCTCTTGAGGTGGGATTCACCTTCCTCCACGCGTCAATTAGGTCATGGCAAAAGTTGCACGAAATCGCAGCTTTGTTTAGAAGGCGATTTGTGTTTGATTACATGGGATTTGTCGAGTACATGGTCTAAAGCCAGATTTGAATCCCCCGCCAAAATCACATCTTCCAGTTCTTTAGACAGAGATTTAAAAAGGGAATGGAAGAAAGTCACCTGGTTCATATTAGGGGCAAAGTAAATAAGAAAAGACACCATATTTTCATCAGACTTTCTATCCCTTAACACTTTAGTTTCACTAAATGCTAGCTGTTTGGAAAAACAAAGCGCCACCCTCTTTTTTTTTTTG